GCTATTAAAGTTAATTCGAAATAACGGCTGGTATTCTGAATTTACTTTGCAGTGTAGACATACCCTAACTGTGAAATCTATACTGCAGGGCTTAACTTGAAATAAACTATGCAAATTGAGCTATGTCAATTAGCTTATTTTGAAATAGCTTATTTCGAGTTTTGGTGCTGTCTACAGAGCATTTATTTCAGGGTAGAGTTCTCTTCCTCTGACTTCCCTTACTCCTTGTACAATGAGGATTACAGGAGTCAGAGTAGGAAGTCCTCCAGCTTGATGGTGTTTTGACACTATTTCAAAATAATTGCAGGCTGTGTAGACATGGATTAAATTATTTCAAAATACTGTTGCTGTGTAGATATAGCCCTTGAGGTCACGAAAGCATGTGCATTAATTGAGATCCTTGAGATCTGGTTCTTTCTCTTGGATCCTCAGCCTCTGGAACTCCTATCTGTTGCACTTCACAAAGGAGTTTATGCAATGCCACAAAAGACCTTAGAGCTGTGCTCTTTGGTGTTTCCCTGTAATCTGGTTTGATGCATCAAGGGGACCGTATTACTCTTAAGTTATTTTTAATAGAAGTGTGATAGGTATAAAATGAAGCCTGGGTTGTGCCCATGAAAACTCATGATACCATCTACATGTTTTGTTAGTCCATAGAGTGCTACCAGATTATTTGTTGTTTTTTAAGTTTTTCCTGTTACAGACAAACTCGGCTACCCCTCTCAACCTGCGTAGACTGGAACTTCTTTGTATAAGGAGAAGGGAATAGATCCGTGGTCACCAATTGGTCGATCACAATTGACTGGTTGATTGCAAGGGCTCGACCAGTCGATCGTGAGGCGTTTGAGGTTCCCCCATTTTCCCCCACTCCTAAGAAGCCCCAATACCTACCTCCAGTGAAAATAGAGGTAGTGCCGGCTTCCTGCAGGGTAGTGCAGCTGCGTGCCACTTCCGGGGGCTCCAGAAGTTCACTGGCTGCTCCCCTCCCTCAGGTCTGTGGTGTGCCAGAACTTGCAGGGGAGGGATCCCCAGAGGAGGCACATGCTGGGACTTCACTGCACTGCGGGAGGGGTGCACTGCAGAACCCTGCCCCCACCCCAGCACTCTGTCCCCTGCACCAGCACCCACTAGCACCCTTCCCCAGTAGCATGTCCCCTGCTCCCACCAGCACAGTTGGGGCCACATTAATGAGGTTTGGGGTGTTTCGGGGAGAAGGGTTTTTTTTGTATCTCCCTTGTGTGGCCCCAACTGACTTTTCTGTGGGTCAGTGACCCCCTGACTCAAAACAGGTTCCCTTCTCATAAATAAAGACAATGCTGAAACTTTTTGTGTTAACACATTATAACACTCCTGCACCACCACCACCCCCTAGATCTGAGCCTAACGTGTCCTGAGCCCTTCACATACCTCAACCCAAATTCCTGCACCCTCAAATCCACAAGCCTGTGGCTTTCTTTGTACCCCACCCCCCCCCACCCTGGACCCCCCTCCCCGAGCCAGCATCCCCTTCTCCACCTCCTCCTGCATCCAAATTCCCTCCCAGAACTAGCACCTCTCACCCATTCCCACACCCAAATCCCTCATTCCCACCCCAGAGCCCACACATCCTGTCTCAACCCAGTGAGGCTATGGCTAGACTGCAGGAGTTTTTCAGGATTCCAAAGAGATCCTGGAAAAACTCTTCTGCATCCAGGGATGCATTTGTTATTCTGCTTTTTTCCGTAGAAGAGCAAACATGCTTTTTCTGTAACCCCTATATTCCTTGTTCCACGAGGAATAAGGGGGCTTCCAAAAAAAGGAGATTTTCTAACATTTGGTCCAGTCTAGACAGGCAAAATGTTGGAAAAACCTCTTCCTACAGAAGAGTTGGGGGGAAAAAGTGGCAGCGTAGAGTGTATAGGGGCTGGGGATAGCAAGTGATGGAGAGGAGGAGAATAGAGAAGGCAGAGCTTCAAGGAAGGGGTGGGGTCTTGGGGGATGGATGGGGCGGTAGATCTTGGCTTGTTCTGACATTTAAAAAGTGATCTTGGGTGTAAAAAGGTTGGAGACCACTGTCCTAGAGTAACGGGTCCTTATCTTGATCAAAAAGCCTCTAGGAACGACCACATATTATCATAAAGTGTACTATCTTCTTAGCTAGGAAGTTAGATCATATTACAAAGCTTTTGGGTTGAAGCAGATCTATTGAGGAAGCCAAGACGGAATCTCCCTTTCAGGATAGCACAATTGACACAGGGTATCATGGACTGGAGCTCTCTCTTACACATCCACAAGATACTTTTTCAGATGCACTCACTCATGCAATTCATGGAATCACCAGGAAGGTGCACTGCCCACTGTGCCCCTGCCAAAGTTTTAATTGCTAAATGGGGTGTTCCCTCATGCCCCCTCCTTGTTCCTCTGGCTGGCTCTCCCTGCACTCCCTCCCTTCCCTTGCGCTTGATGGAGCCTGCTGGATGCATGGCAGCTGGAGAGACAGTCCAAGAGTTTATGCTGCTGACGGGGCACGGGGGCAGATGCGCATTGGAAGGATGCACACGCCAGCATTGGCTTGCCAGCCCCGCCAGCTGGAGCGTAGATTTTAAAAGGAACCGGTAGCGTGTTAACAAGAGGGGGTCGCTGTGGGAAGAATTATGGGGAGGGGGGGGGGGCGAGGAATTGACGGCCATTGTGTGGGATCAAAGACGGGTCCCTCTTCCAGCATGGGGGAGAGCGGCGAGGCGCTCGTGGGGGAAAGAACAGGAGGGGGGAGAGGGAGGCCGGAATGGCAGAGGGCAGGGTCTCGCTGAGATTGATGAAAGGTTGATTTCACAGGTGCAGGAAGGGACCGTATGTCTAATAGTGCAGCACCAACGTCCTGTTCTCCCCCCCCTCCCCCCGCAAAAGCCAGCCTGCAGGTAGCGCAGTGGGGCGGGTTCTCCGGGGGCCTCACGGGTAAGTCAGCAACCTCCGGAGCCTGAGA